TAGGGTTAGAATAAGTTGACATGTACTTGCAAAGTTACTTATAGTCAGTAGAATGTCTGTTGGGAGACCATCACAATAAAGAGTTAGCAGATATTAAGCAAAAAGTCTACTAATACTCTAATGTGAGTTAGTAGACATGTACGTGCAACGTTATTTATTGTCAACAGAATGTTCAAAAGGGACCATCAAAATAAAGTGTTACCTATACATTCACTGCAAATGCACACACGTACTTACATTGTAAATATACACAGACATTGAATGTCTGATGTCTTTCAGACTGAATATAAACAGTATGACATGAACAAGAGTGCTGTTATTTCATGCCAAAATATTCAGACCTAGAACAAGATTGGGAGTGTGATATTGCTTTTACCCAACAACAAATTAAACAAGATGGGATAGTTTACCCAAAAAATTAAAATTCTGTCATTAAGTACTCACCCCTCATGTCATTCCAAACCCGTAAGACCTTCGTTCATCCTCGGAACACAAATTAAGATATTTTTGATGAATTTCAAAAGCGTTCTGACCCTTTCTGTCAGTTGTGTCGCTTCACTTTACAAAACCATTCACAAACCGCACAATACGGAATCTCAATCTTCAAAAGGAAAAATATTATATAATCTGTCTACTTTTTGGTTTGGATGCAGCCAATCACTTGTCGCCACCTACTGGTATATCAATGTAACCTGCAGAAAGTCTCACCACTAATATATGTGTATATATAGTATAATCACCATACTTCGTGAAAACCATTTCGAATGTCTTTGCTCATGAAAAAAGTAATAAAGGGTTTTAAAAATCAAAACATAAATAATCAATGCATGAGGCATTGAAATCTAACTGTGAAAACCTACTTTCTGTTTTGTGTAAAAGTTCTTTGCTTTTATGAACAAAGTGAAAGAGAGTGAATATTCTAACAACCATCCATAAACCAAGAAGACACTTAAACAGCGAGAGACTTGTAAGCTGAGAGAGAAAAAGACAAAGAAATTGGATAAACTAAATTGATGAAGAAAGGCACTTGTGCTCCAGACACTAAGTAATGATAGTGTTTGAGCCACTCAAAATCTAATCAAACAACACAGGCAATGTAGTGCCTGTGATGAAAACAGCCCCATCCCGCCACTATGCAAAGCAAGCCGGCTGTGCCTATGCATTTCAATGACCTCATTAGATAAATATAATTAAAAGGGAGCTTTGTGAAGCAATGGAGCAGAGAATCCAAATTAAGATGCTTAATTTCGTCCTCATTGTATTACTGCTTTTAATAGAGAAGAAGTAAGTTTGTTTTCTTATTTCATTCGACTTCAGTTGTGTTTATCATGAAAGTGAAATGGGGTTATGGTGGATACAGACACAAACTAACCAAGGGGGCCTCTGACCATTTGATCTGAAGGGCCCAAATGGTTGCAGATATTGTGAAGACAGTTTATTACAATAAGTATTTATCTATTAAGTGTTTAAATTAATTGGAGATCAAAAAGGAGAAACTGAGAAACTCCTAGGAAAATGGAAAAATGTATTAAGAAGTTGAGTGAGACTAACAGTGCCATACTAACAGTAAACTCACTGCTGTTAACAGAAAATCTAGATGAAACGTGAGCAAGATACTAAACCAACGCTATAGGCGATGTCAATATTGAAGTCGGGAAAGATGCTAAAGTGCATCTTCTGAGAATGCAGTGCCGTTCTTTCGCCAAGCAGTAGTTTGATATATTGAACTTTGTTTTACTTACTGTCAGGCAGGGTACGGCACACTGTTTCTTGTTCTTGCTGCTGTCAGATATCAGAGCATCTGACAGCTAATGAACAACTGCCATATCACCAAATGTTTGTAAAAACAATCAATTTCCTGTTCACTCAAACAGACAGGTTATTTATGATAATGTGCTGGCCTTGCTGATAAGACGGTCCCTGACAGTGTTTATAGTTCCACCCACTATGAACACCTGTAGGAACACACACAAGAAATATGAAGTTTGTGAGGAGACAGAGCTTCATAAATTTCTTAATTATTTTATTTTTTTAAGACAATTAAATGTATAAAAAATATTTAAATATTTTATTTTATAAATATATAGTTTTATTGTTTTATTATTTTTATTTATATTATTTAATATTGTTTAATATACAAAATAGTTTATATATATTATGGCTGTCAATATATTAAAATTTTTAATCTAAATAATCACACCCTTTTTCTGTGATTAATCGCAATTAATCACTTCATGAAATTAAGCATAGACCATTTACTCTATCTTGTTTCAGATGTTAATTTTGTCATAATTTGCTATATCCAGCAAAGAAAACCAAAAGATTGAAGGGTGATTCTCAAAAATCTGTATTTTCTGCAAGTGTTTTTCAAGATAAATTTAGATGTCTTTACAAAAAAAGACACTTAGAATCTCCAAAAGGACACCAAAGAACCAAATGATATAAGGAGCCCATATAAGCACATATGAAAGAAAAAAAATGCTTAAAAAAAAAAAAAACACAGAATCAGAATAGTATGTGTACAGTGCAACAGCAAAGAGCTTTTTTACATTTTAGAGAAGTCAAGTTGCGATACCAAACAGGAGATGCCAAAAAAAAAACTAAACCAACCGCCTGCTGACTGCATATATTTACTACAGTACACGGATCCATTCAGAAGAACACTAGATTCACTTTTAAATTAATAACAACAACAACAACAATAATTTAACTAGGGTTGGGCAAGTTAACGCGTTATTATCGCGTTAACGCATTAATTAATTAACACAATTAATTATTTTATCGCACATTAACACAGGTTATTATTATTATTATTAGGAAAGCCTGTTGCTCACTGGCTCTGAACGTGCTCATAATCACGACTTCATAAGTGGGAAATAGGACGTTTTATCTGGCCATACAGCGGTGGGATGCGTTGACAATCCATTCAGTCTGTACTTCACACAAGCGCATGACGTGAGGACTCGCGCTCTTCAGAGACAATCACAGAATATGACAGAGCTCGTGCTTAAAAGCGAAACACACTGGAATTAATAATTCACTGAAAACACAACGCGAGTCTCTGTGTGCTCTGCAAACTCTGATGCAATCAGCCTGGTTTCCTTTATATTTACGCTGCTTTGGATGGATTGTTTTAGTCAAACGCGCTCAGGCATGGTTAAGATTGCCTAGTGTGAGTTCACCCTTATTCTCCCGCATCCCACACATATGAGTCTCTACCTGCCCGCACCCGCACTCGCCCATCAAGTGTTGTCCCGCGATAGCGCAGGTCTCTAAGGTGCCTGTTATAATGTCATGATAACAAATTCCTCGTATGTGTAAACATACCTGGCAATAAAGCTCATTCTGATTCTGATTCTGATGATCGAGGCTCTGGACTCTGAGCATAACTTATTTTTCTATAACTATAAAATATTTTCTATAAAACCGTCAATGCCCTGGCAGTGGCAAATAGCTTTGGTTTTATATTTAATGTGATTACATTAATGTTTAAGTTGAGATTTACAAGAAATATTTTAACTGCTACTATGTAATAGGAATACTGCTGTAATAAAAAAGCACCTTATTTGTTTAAAGTGTTTGCAAACAAAATGTTATTGCACTTTTGTTCATATAGCAGTACCTTTAAATGAAAAAAGTGCACAATACACTACTTTTGAATTCATTATTGAATTTTGTGCATAACAATGCGATTAATCGCGAATTAAAATTTTTAATCATTGCTAATATATATATATATATATTAGTTTTTTTATTAATGTAACCCTGTTCTGACGAAATCGCTTACTGTCTGACAGGTATTTCTTTGAATAATATAATTACTTTGTGACCATTAAATAATTATCTTCTATATACTATAGAATGTGTACAGTGATTGTTTTAATATTGTTTATTTTTACTAATTTTACCCTATTTCACAAAAAGCAAACAATAAAATAAAATAAAACATGTTATTGCCAGTGACTTTGCAGTGTATGTATTGATCTGCACCACTGACCCACAGTGCATGCAACACATATGGAATGATCTGAACATGGGAAAAAGATCTGTCCTCAACTGGTTTCCACACTGCATCCTATAACCGTCACTGGGAACTATTTATTAGGTGCTGGATGACTAGAAAAGTCATTAGCACTTTACCACAGGGATAGGAAATTAGCATTTTAATTGTTTGCGCGCTGTGCATTTTTCATGGTCACGGTGCAAATAGATTTTGTGCTTGTAGATCTCAACCTGCTTCTATTCCAATCAACGTCTCCCCCCTTCAGGAGTCATTACATGAGTGCCGCACAATATCGGAGGTCTCTGGCTTCACCTTCAGGCCCCAGGAGGATGAGGATAGGCTTGCGACAAGCCTTAGTAGATGCTCTGCCCTCAAAAGCGGCAGAGAGGAACTGAATTGAATGAGAACGCCTTCACCAGATGAAAACAGTATAATGCCCATCCTGGAGGCTTACTTGCAGAGAGCTATTAAGATAAAACGCTCCATGTCTAATTCGGTTGAGGAGGTATAATTAATGACTCCTGTGCAGAGGGGAGGGGTTGTGCGCACTAAGCGCTAACCAAATAGCTAGCTTGAAAGCGGCTGACACTCAGCAACGCATCTGCCGCTGCCCACTCAAAATTCCACACTGGTAGAGCTGCGGCTTGCTGCAGATTATTGACCTTGGATACTTCACTCTATATATTTATACAAGCATCATTTATTACCAGGGCCAAAAGACGCTTAAGTGAATTATGATGTGGGTACTGAGTACTGATGTGGGAGTCATACCCTGAGGGTTGATTAATTGTTCACATCAACTCTGCAGAACAGTGAAGCACCTGACAAAAATGAAATTCTGTTCATTGACATGGTCTTGGTATAGCGATGGACAAAGATGCCCATGAGAACATACTGCTCAAACTTTCTTAAAGGAACAGTATACCTAAAAATGAAAATATTCTCTCATGTCATTCCATTTTTGTCTTTACATGAACGCAAAAGAAGACTTTTTTTTTTTTTAAACATGCTATTCGTTCTTTTCAGAAAATTCTCCAAGTCTTCTGAATCCATATAATAGCTTTGGGTGAGAAATTGACTATTTTTTTCCTTGACATGAAGAAGGGGTTACATTAAAGTTACATTAAAAAACTATATTAAACCCCCCTCAGTTTCACTGTGGAGATCTTTAATTGTTGAGCTTGTGACCCTGGAAAAACAGAGGCACTGAGTTGAGGGAAGGATTCATATCTTTGTGCAGAAATGGAGAAAATCTCTAGAGCTTCTATTAAATGCAGTTTGGACAGAGATGGACAGTAATTGACTGAGAGGGTAAGGGTGTTGTTTCATGTGATTTGGATTCATATATTTTTAATTTATGTTTTTCTTTATCATAATAATTTAGCAGAAACTCTTGCAAAGTGGACTGTTTCTCTCTATCTCTTATAAATAAAAAATAAGTAAAAAAAAAAAGTAAGGTTACAAAATAAGTAAGGTTAT